TTTACATACTGCTACCGTTATAGAAAACTATTTATTTATCAATATTAAATATTAAAAAGCTTTGCTTAGCAACGCCATCAAATTGTTTGTTTGCCATAATTTTTTTTTTTAAATATTTTTGCAAGTAAACAGAGTTGAAATTGCACAAAAAATCAAAAATTTTATTTTCTAAAATGTACTAATATATATATTATATATAGATATTGCTTAAAATATATAAATACACATTTATCGAAAATATGAAGACACTTTTTTGAATTAAAAACTTCAAAATTAAAAAAAAATATATTTTTTATTACATTTATTTATATTAGTTTTGTTAATGAAATGATATTTTTTCTTTAGTGAGTGTTGATTTTTTTAGTTTCCTTTTTTCTTTTTAGCGGAAATGCGGAATTAGTTAAAACAAAATACTGCCAAAAAAGGTTCGCTATCAAAAAATATCATTCCATAAATGGTCAAGATATTTGTGTGATTCAAAAATATAGTGATTATGAATATACAAGTACATATAAGTTAATATATATATTTATATTGATGAAAATTTAATATATTAAATTACACACATACAATATGAACGTTATAAATGACGAGCGAATTGTATGAAATGCTGCGAAATCGAACTAGCGTTGTGTTTGGTTAATTTAAAATAGAGATTAAGAGTGCATAGAGATGAAAAAAATAACAGCAAATCAACGTGCGCAATAAGGATAGCAGGAATAACGAGCGAGTTGTGTGGTAGGGATTGATACAAAGCCAGTGAAAGAGTTAGAGAACAGATAGAAAGAGATAGTTATAATGAAACGTAAGCACAGAGAAAGAGAGAACGAGAGAGAGAGGGAGATAGAGAGAGAGATAGAGATAGAGAGAGAGAGAGAGCGAGAGAGAGTGAGGCAGTGCAAAAAAGCGTAGCAGGTTCATAAATAAAATCTATCGAATGACATAAAGTTTAATGAAAATGTGTTTAAAATACTTGCAGAAAAGCTTAAGAAGCGAAAACTAATAAAAAAAAAATAGATTGAACTGCCTCAAGTTAGAGAAAAGTGTAAAACACAATGTTGTAATAAAATGAGAAAGTGTTTAGTTTAGTATTGAAACCATTTTGTGTTAGTAGAGCTAAATTGGAATATTAGTGAATGGAAAAAGTATTAAGTTGAGAAAGTTTCGAGTAGTAAATATTTACAAACAGACATACATACATATTTATAGGAAATAAAGTAAGAGTTAGCTTTTTAAGTTCACAAGTAGATTCCCATTTAACTTGTATTTGAAATCTGTCTCATAAGTATCTTTTGTAATACATGGCAAGGAAGGGTGAAAAGAAATTTTGTGAAATTCTTTGGAACATTCGTTTCGGTGAAAATGTTCGAAAATAGCAAAGTTATGTTTTTCGGAGTGTTAAGCTTTGTTTTTTATTAAACACTTTAGTTTGTAATTATTTATAGTAAGTGTTTTACCCAAATAAATTTCACTTTTCTAAAAGCTGGAAAATTTAAAACTTAACTTTTTCTATGGCGAAAGTTGTGAAAGCTTCCTAAAATATTGAAATAATAATTAAGTTCAGGAAAACTCTTCGAAAATTATTTTCAACTAATTTTAAACGATTTTCGATAAGACATTTATTAACGAAAATTGTGAAAGCTCCTTAAAATATTAAAATGTTAATTAAGTTTTAAGAATTACCCCAAAAATTGTTTTCAACTGGTTTAAATTTATTTTCGAACAGCCAAGCATAACAAAAATTTTGGAAGCTTCTTAAAATACTGTTTACAAAAATTATAAAAGTTTCCTTGTACTATTAATTTTGTTAACAAAATTAATTTAAAAATTGCTCTTAAAGTTATTAAAAAAAAATTCTACCGAACATTTGTTACTGGAAATCGTGAAAGCTTCCTAAAATATTGAAATATCTATTAAGCTCTAAAAAATTCTTTGATAATTACTTTGTACTATTATTAAGCCACACAACTATCATTGAAAATAATGAAAGCGAAAAACTATTATTAAAAATTGTGGAAGCTCCCTAAAATACTCCAATTTTAATTGAGTTCAAAAAGTTTTTTTAAGAAATGGAAAGTGCGAAAAGCTCAACGAAAGCTTACATGAAAGCTCCGAACACAACTTTGCTGAAAAAATTTTGCTTGGAAATTTGGAATTTTCTAAATATCATAATTAGTAACTCTTTTTTTATCTTTAGTGTTTTTTTTTGTTGGAGGTTCAACAGAAGAATATAGATAACGATAGCATTTAAAACAAGTAAATGTACTTTGAAGATGAAATGTGAATTGGAAGAAGATTTGAGTGACTACCACAAAAACAAGTAGGTGATTTTGAAGGGTTTTTATTAGAAAAGCGCTACTGATTTTCGCTGAGTCTGTGCAGGGAGAATGGGGTGATCATCTAAGAGCGGATTTGTAGATGTTCTAAATATTTGAAGGCGGTTTCTAGAGCACCTAAGGTACATTTCAAGTGCATGGACTTCTTTTAGAAATGTTTATTTTTCTATAGAATTATAGATATGATTTTTTTTTTTGAAGAAAGCTCAACTTAAAAGTGAACTGAGCTTTTGAGAGTGCAATGCTTTGTCTTTGTATCTAAGTGTTTGGGGTGAATATTTGGGGGCTTAACTATTTGTTTGAAATGTAGGGACAACTATCTTTTTTATATAGAACTTTTTTAACTTTTGTGCCAGGCTTTTTCTTTTTAACTATAGGATTGGGTTATATGTTTGGGGCTCTAATTTTTTTGAAGCGGAAAACACATCTGTTTGTATGTAAAATAAGTGAAAGCTCAACTTTAAGGTAACTGAGCTTTTGAGAGTGCAAGCTTTTTATTTATGTCTATCTAGATATTCAAAGTAAATATTTGGGGACTTAAATTTTTTTTACGACGCTTATGTAAAGAAAGTGAAAGATTTACTTTAAATTGTCAACTGAACTTTTGAGTGTGCAAGGCAAGGCTTTGACTTTGGTATGTTAGGTTTAAGGTAAATTTTTGGGGTCTTAAATTATTCTAAAGTGCAAGGGCACATACATATATCTATTCGTATGTAACACAGGTGAAAGCTTATGTTGAAATTCGAAACCGAGCTTTCGAGTATGCAAAACTTTTACTTTGGAACTAGAAATGTTGAGGTAAATATTTGAGGTTTTATATTTGTTTGAAGAGAATATATTTAACTACATGTAGAAAACTCAACTTTAAGTATTAAACGGAGCTTTTGAGAGGGAAACGATTTAAGCATTAATATGCATGATTGGGGTTGAAAAATTTGCTTTGAGGGTAAGAAAATATGTATTAATTCATGTGAGGCATAAGTGAAAGCTCGGTTTTAAATTTTGAATTGAGCTTTTTGGTAGCGCAAGACTTTGTCTGTGTAACTTGGTGGTTAAATCTTTCAGTTTTAGTTTGGAAATGCAAGTATATATGCAACTATGTGTATGTGGCGTAAGTGAAAGCTCGATTTTAAACTTTGAACTGTGCTTTTTGGTAGCGCAAGACTTTGTTTGTGTAACAGGCAGTTATAGCTTACAGTTTTTCTTTGGAAGTGCAAGTATATATGCATCTATTTGTATGTGGCATAAGTGAAAGCTCGGTTTTAAACTTTAAACTGAGCTTTTGCGGGTAGTCTTTGCAGTTAGAGCTTTAAGATAAATATATGTGGCTGACGTATTTCTTCAAATGCAAGGAAGAATAAGTGAAAGCTCATCTTTAAAAGTTTAAGTAGGCTTTTGAGGGTGTAAGGCATTGTAACTAGGTTTTTAAGTTAAATATTTGGAGGTATAAGGTGGGGAAAAAATTTGATTCACTATTAAAATCTTTATTATTTATTAATTTTTTATGAATAACGGTTTGACTTCGGGTGCGTGTGTTAATGTACTTAAGCAAAGGACATGATATTTGACGTTGTTGAAAGCTCTTTTTACTTGTTAAGCTATTTTTTAATTTATTTTTAGGTTTTGAATTGTCAAATACGCCTCACGAGCAACCATTGTGTGTTTTATCCTACATAAGGTTCTAGCATAGTTTTAATTTAAAAAAAAAATGTTTGGTATTTTGAGGCATAATTTTTCAGCTTTCAGCATGAATAAATATCTTCGCAAAGGTGTCTGGGTCTAAAAGTTAGTCAACAAGTGGCTGAGCAGGGTCTGCGGGGAAATGGTGGGCCTAAAATTCGTATATATTTTGTATATTTGGTTTAGGGCATTTTTTTTCTCTTTGTAAAGCAAACACAACAAATAACCGCAGCTAAATGAAAATGTTTAAAACTAAACATTGAAATTTAAATTTTTTTAATTTCGTGAATTTTTTTTTACTTGAAGCTAACACATAATTATTGATTGTACTTTTAATAATTTTTTTTTTTAAAGGTGGCAATGATTACTTGTAAAATTTAGCAATTAGTAGTACATAGTAGTTGTGACAAAAAAAAAAAAAAGAGTAGTAGCAGCGATAGTAGTAGTAATAGTAGTAGTTGTAGTAGTATTGGTGAATAGTAGCGAGAAAGTACGAGTATATTTATTAGACAAATAACGAACGAACATTTAAATTTTATATTTGGCACAAATTGTTTTTGTATTTTTCAGCTTGCTTCGATTACTTATTTAATGGAGTTGCCATTTAGTTAATTTGTTGGGTAATTTTTTTTTTTTTTTTGGTTTGTGATTTAAGAACTCTTATTTTTTTTTTGTTTTTGGTTTTTCGTATTTTTGTTTTGTTAAAGAAGTAATATAAGGTAATAACAACAACAATAACTATAAGTTATATGTAAATTGCGGTAATTGGCATAAATATTAGAAATTAATTTGGCATATGAAATTTTTGTTGTTTAAATTACTCGATATAAGTAAATAAATTTTTTGTTTGTAATAAGTTTTTGGTTTTTTTTATTTTAAATTATTATTTTTGTTTTGTTACTGTTTTTCATATTGTTATTGTATACTAATTAATTTTACTATAAAAATTTGAAAAAAATTTGCATTTTTAAATGCAATCGCTACCTAACAAGGGGATTGCATCAGATACTTGGGGCAATGTCTCAGCTACAAGGTTGAGAAACACTGTGAGCGATAGAAGAATTGTAACTCCTGTAACAGAAAAAACAAAGATATTGTAGAAAAAAAGAAGAAGAAAATTATTTTGAAACAAACAATAAAGTATACGAGTAGTATTAGTAGTATTTAAGTAAGTAGTAAATTTAAAAAAAATATTAATTTTTTGTTATAAGTTTTTATTGGTGGCGTAAAATTTGTATATTTTTTTAATGTTTTGTGTTTTTTTGATGTTTTGTGTTTTTTTTTTAATGTAAGTAATATTTGTATTTGTTTTTGTTTTTATTGTTTTTTATGTTTTGTGTTTTTCTTATTGCTTGGCTGTTGGTTTGATACTTTGAGTATTGTTTTTTATATAAAAAATATTTGTATGTGTTTGTTTAGTTTGTTGTTGTTTTTTATATTTCGTGTTTGGTTTATTTTTGATTTTTTGATGTAATAATTTTTATAATTGTTTTTTTTTTTTTTTTTAGTACATGTTTATCGCTTTTAATGTTATATATGTTTCATGTTCTCATACTTTTTGGTGTTTTTTTGTAAATAATTTCTTTTTTGATATTTTGTGTTTTGTTTTTTGTTATTTGTTTTTTTTTTTTAGGAAAATAATATGTGTATTTGTTTTTTTTTGATATTTTGTGTTTTATGTTTTTTTTTCGTTCGGTTGTTGGTTTGTTTTTTATGTAAGAATATTTGTATGTATTTGTTTTGTTCTTGTTATTTTTATGTTTCGTGTTTTGCTTGCCTTTAATTTTTTTAATGATTTGTGTTGATTTTTTGTTTTTAATTTTTTGATGTTGATATTTTTTTGTTTTTTACTTGTTTTTCGTTTTTTAATTTTTTTTATGTTTCATGTTTTGATTTTTTCGGTGATTTTTTTGTGTAAATATTTTTTGTTTGTTTTTTTATTTAGTAAATAATATTTGTATTCATTTTTGTTTTTGTTGTTTTTTTATGTTCTTTGTTTTGTTTTTTATGTCAATGTTATTTGAATTTGTTTGCTTTGTATTTTTTTTTATTTGTTTTAATGTTTTGTTTTTTATTGTTTTTAATTATTTTTTTATGTTTTTTATGTATCAATATTTGTAATTGTTTGTTTTGCATTTGATTTTTTGTTTTTATTTTTTTTGTTTCGTGTTTTGTTTGCTTTTAGTTTTTTGGATGTTTTGTTTTTGTTTTTTTTATTTGTTTTGATGTTTTGTATTTTATTGTTTTTAATTATTTTTTTATGTTTTTTATGTATTAATATTTGCAATTGTTTGTTTTGTACTTAATTTTTTGTTCTTATTTTTTTTTATGTTTCGTGTTTTGTTTGTTTTTAGTTTTTTGGATCTTTTGTTTTCTTTTTTAGTAAGTATTATTTGTATTTGTTTTTTTTTTGTGTTTTCATTTTTTTTTATTTTGTTTACAATTTCTTTTTTCGATGTTTTGTTTGTTTTTTTTTTTTTTTTTTTTTTTTTTTTTTTTTTTTTTTTTTTTTTTGGAAAAATCATTTGTATTTTGATGTTTTGTGTTTTGCGATTTGCTTTTTTTATTGTTTATAATTTCTATTTGATCTTTTGATCTTTTGGTTTTTTGTTTTTATGTTCGTGTTTCGTTTGTTTTGATGTTTTTTTTTTTTTTTGAAGAAAAATATTATTTGTATTTTTGTTTTGTAATTGCTTTTTTGTGTCTAGTTTTTTTGATGTTTTGTGCTTTTAGCCTTTTTGATGTTTTGTTTTTTAAGAAAATATAATTTTTTGTATTTGATTGTTTTTTTGTGTTTGCTTTTTTTTTTGTCTTTTGTCTTTATTTTTCTGTTTCGTTCCATTGTGTATAATATTTTATTGTTTGTTTTGTATTTGTTTTTTTTTTCTTGTTTCATTGAACTGTATTTGGTTCTGGTGCCGGAGTGTGTCTTCCTCTGTATTTTTTACCTTTTTCGTGTGTAATTATTCAACTCTCTTCTTTTTTATTTATATTTAATATTGTGTTTGCCCTTTAATTGTTTTTTTTTTCGTTGAGTTTCTCTGTTGCGTGTAAAATTTTTTTTTTTATATTTTTCAAAAATGTTTTTTATTTCTATAGAGTTTTTTTTATTAGTGAAATATATTTCAACATAAAAAAATATTATTGAAACATCATTTATGGTTGTGCATTCGTTGTTTCGCTGCACAGTTTATTTTATTAAAAATTTATATTTTTTTATTGTCAAAAATTCAAATCCACGCATTTTGGATGGAATTCGCGCAGCAAATATTTCAAGCTTTTTCTTTCACTGGATGACTAGTATGCATGTTTATGTGTATGTATATGTATGCATGTATGTATTTATGTTAGTATGAAAAAATGTTTTTTGATACAAAAACAAACCAATCATGTAGATGCAATATATTAATGACAAAAAAAAAAGTTTCGATGTTTTTTTAAAGCCTTTGAAAAGCTTGAAAATATTGAAATTTTTTTAGTCAATTTTTTTGCAAAAATTTTTTTTTGTGTTGGTAACATTTTCGGTGTTTTTTGGCAATTTTAATTCACAAATATCATAAATAATTAGGTAAAGTCCAATTACTTTGCCCATTTTCAGAGCAATTCGTCCAGTAGCTTTGACTGCAGCTAGGTTGCGTATTTAGATAACCCCACTTTCTCAGGCGAGCCATGAGCGTCAAGCTGCACAAAGCGCAAAGTAATGTAAACCCTCGATAAAAGGCTGTTAGGCACTCTGGGTCGCTAAACGCCATGCGGCCGGAAATCGATTCTGGACTTCTGTGAAGATTAATGTATCTTTCAACTATGCCACCACAGACGTTAACTCAAAAAAACTCCGTTGAAAACGTTGTTAGCCCTTGACTCGTTGGTATTCCGGTGCTGTGAAACAGGTTAGCATGAAGATGATCTCAAGCTTCAGAAGACACAGTTTGTTGTAGCGAAGAAAATTCTGAAAATGCTGGTCCAGCAGAACAGGAAATTGAGTGTGGGAGGTATTCGAACACGGTGGCGCTCCGGAAGGAGATGTCTTCATCTTGGGTACCGGGAAAATTTTCTAAATATTTCTTAAATTCGTAGGTGAAAAGCCTTACCTTACTATGCTATACAGAATTGATCGCCATGAACCATTCAACACCTTCAAATGTTGTCTGATTCAAGATCAGCTAGGTAAAGTTGCATCGGCTGCGTACAAAGTATGCACAGAAGAGCTGATACGATGAGCATTGTCGTATTGAAGTGGAGAGAAAAAAGTTTGGCCACTTTACAACATCGTAAGATGCGCAAGTCTTTGATGAAGATTTTAGGCCAGAGGCATCATTCGATCAAACGTTTTTCTGAAAACGATGCTGTCAAGCAGTGAAACTGATACTCGTACTTGATATCGTGAAACAGCCCTTACTGCCTTTGTTAAATGAAAAGGATATACTCGTGATGATTTGCGGTTTCTACTAGATCTTAATCCCGTACTATCCCTTATCGGTCAACAGAATTGGCCTTCAAGATCTTGTAATTTTTTTTATGCAGTCCTCAGTTAAATAAGAGGCATTATTTTAGAAAAGCGGACACAAAGCGTGTGGTTTTAACTCAGGCAATATTTCCTACGGAGCTGGTCTTTTTGACAGCTGTTACTTGTTGTTATGCTCACATTGGCTTGCCATTTGATAATCAATAGACTAACCGCGGAAAAACGTTCACAAATCATCCTGAAAACTTATTAACAAAACAATCGTTCGAGTCGATCGTTCAAGAAACCATGGATCGATTTTGAATCATGTTTACTCTATTAGATAATGCACATCTCCGAAAACGCCATGCAGTGGACACCGAAAACGCTATTGCTACTGTGGAGCAGAGTATCGAAGCTTGGAGCTGTGCCCAACCACACTATTTGTTGTGCTCAACGGTCAGAGGGAGCTATTGGCTCCTGTAGAGCTATGATTAATGAGTTTTGTATTTGAGGATGTTGTTGTGTATGATCTTCGTTCAAACAAGACAGCGTTACATGCCGCACAGCCAACAAAACAATCCTTTTATTGAGGGGAATTTTTTGCTGAGTGCATTATTTCGCTTCGTGTTCCCATGATGTGGAGTCCAAGATCGTGCGACTTAAAACCGCAGAACAATTTTTTGCGGAGTTATGTGAAGTTGCTAGTCGAAGCAGATAAGTTCAAGAGGATCGACGCCTTGAAAGAGAATAAACGGCGCATTATTGCTGACATACGGCCCATGATTGTTGCAAAAACTGGGCGAAAAGCGAGCCTCTCGGGTGGTCACTTAACCGAAATTATTTTTTAAATATAGTGGCAAAGCTTTGTCTCTTCTATAAAACCAAAATTCTTGGCAATAACATTGACTTATGTGCGATTTATTTCTTCTTGAAAATCTCATGTCTGAAAGAACTGCCTTACCTTGCACTAAATCAGCGTTGTTTTTTTTATTTTTCCGACAAAAGTAATTCCAGTAAAAAATTAGTTTCTCTACGCTTTCCCTATTATTAGAAACTAGAAACATTGAAAATGTTAACAACACGTCCAAATGAACTTTTCGAACTTTTAAAAGGCTTTTTTTTCTACATTACTTCCTACCAACTTGAGTGAGGAATGGGGAATGGTAGAATAAGGAATGGTAGAATGAGAAAAATGGTAGTGAGAGTTTTTCGAAGAATTTCTATATGCAAGAGTCTGCTTGGACAGTAGTGGATTGGTAGGATGTGCGGCCGAGGTGAGAAGTATGTGAGCGGCAGAGGTGAGAGTATGTGAGCGGCAGCGGTGAGAAGTATGTGAGCAACGCTGTCGGAAGTTTGTTGGTGTAAATGTTAGCAGGAATAATCTTATTTGAATTAAATGAAATTTTAAGACGATTTTAGTTGTAAAAATGCAAACTTCGAAGTGATCTTGTTTTGTTTTTTTTTTAACAACAAAAGAACGGGAAGAAGATTTTCAAAGTTTGCGTCGCGTGTTGCTGAAGTCTTCTGCTTTTTCTTCTCTCTTCATCATGAAATTGATATTTGTTTTCGAAAACTCATTTTATTGTACTCCCAGTTATACCATCAAACATGAGATTATTAAGTT